TTTAACTTTCAGTAGCGCAATGTCATATAGATGGGATTAAAAAAGTCTTAATGTTTTCTATTTCCTATGAGAGTGTAGTGGATAGTTTTATGTATATAATAGTGTGCACACTTCTAGATATAGCTTTTAATGTAGGTAAGATGAATATGTACATGTTATATCCAGGCAAGGTGCATTGAGAAGCAGTGAAGTGGATACTTATATATCTTAAGTTATCTACATGACATGACTTATTGTTTGATGCCAAAGCAATGAGTGCCAAGTCACTTTTGGAAAATGTGGATGCTGATCATGGGGGAGATTTGAAGAAGAAAAATCAACAACTATATATATTTTCAGTTTTACAGATGGCTAGATTAGTTGGAAATTTACTTTTCAAAAGTGCATTTCTTTGTCATACAAGAAAACTGAATATATTGCAGCAGTAGAGGCAACAAAGGAAATAATATGGTTGAACAAGCTTATCATTGTGATGGGATTGATTCAGCATAATGTCTATATTCATTGTGATAATGAGAATGCGCTTCACTTTGCTGAGAATCAAGTGATGTATAGTAGGATGAAGCACATTGACATCAAGTACCATTTTATAAAATAGTTTGTGTCTGAGAACGCGCTAAAGATCATCAAGATTGATGAAGAGCTTAATTCAGTTGATAACTTTACCAAGGTAATTCCTTCTGATAAGTTTTCAAGACACAGTGCAACTTTGTAGATTTTCTAGCAGCACTGAGTTAGATTACATGATAGTTTCTATGTATGTAGTTTATCTCTAACATGTTGTCAGCTACGACTTAGTTGGAGTTAACACTTGTTCATAAAGGGAGAGCTATGGTTTAGTTTTACTTTTTAAAACTTCTTGTTGAAACTATATATGGATCATAGAAACGGTCTACACCTCCAAGACTTGAGTTAAAGGGAAGTTTGTAAGGCTAATCCGCATCTTGTTAACCATAGTCAGTCTAATCCTAGTTAGACTTGGCCTCTAATCAGAGTGTTGTTTATTTTTAATAAGAGGATAATCATGATTCTGTTTCAATCTCACATGTACACTGCAGTAGAATGCTAATGGAGAGTTTGACTATGGAGGCCTAGTGTACATTTTTGCTTTAGTGAAGCTTTTATTTCGGCCTGTAAGACCAAATGTTGCACATGTGTACTAAGTTGTAGAAGTAGCCAAGTGATTAATGATTATTAGCCAAAATATAGCTAAGTCTGGCTAGTTATGACTAAACTAGTTAATTATAACTAAGTTTATCTAGTCATGACTAAGTTTAGCTATAATGTCTATAGTTGGCAGAATAATTAGCGGAGTCTTAGATAGTGAAGTGATCACTTCTATTTTGACTTTTACAAAGATCTAGATTCCAAAGGATTAGACTTTTGACTATAAGTTTGGATTTGATTGGTTTAACTAAATGTATGAAAGATAATTGTATATATTAAGTCTAATGTTGACTTAGTGGCTAAGAAGCTTCTAGAAGTTTTAAAGCTTCCAATGACGTGTTGCCACCTCAATCTCAGATTCTAGAAACTTCTAGAAGGCCAATAACATGTCGCCACGTATAGTGGGTTAGTCAAACTTACACAGGGAAAAGTGAGTTAAGAGAAATTACCACATGTTACTATGGTAATTTTTCAAATAATATAAATAGAGAGGTAGAGAAGAGACTCTCAAGCAAGTTTAGAGAGTTCATGTGTGAGGACTTGTTTCAAGAATGAAGGAGTGAAGGTTTTTAGTATCTTGGAGTATCGACATGTGTTTGAGTTTGTGTGAATTGAGTGATGTATGGAGAGCTTGTGTGAGAGTATATTTGAGACACGAGTATGAGTGGGAATTTTAGTCTTTTAGAATCATGATGAGCTACCACAGTACCACAGCCATCTGAGTTAAACCTGAGTGAGAGTCAGTCCGGAGGTTGCAAGCCGTGGACGTAACCTCATGTGAAAATGAACCATGTACATAAGTGTGTGATTCTTGTGGAGTCTTCAATGTATGAGCTTGATTGAAGAATAGAACAGAGATCCTACAATTACATCTAATCTTAACACACTACTGCCATATTTCTAATGAATTATACATTTTTTTTTATAAAAGATGTTCTTTAAGCTTTGAGTTACATCTTATTCAAAATATTTGTCATCTTTATCATTATATGATTATGATATGACCAGATTCAAATTATATTTAATGCTATATCATATAAAGCAAATTATTCAGATACTTTTTTCATTTTTTGATGTAAGTAATGTATCAAAGTAGTAATTACAACAAAATTATAAGTTATTGAATGTCTATTACAATGAAGTAGCACACATGATAGTGGCTAATTAGAGTCAAATAATGAACTAAAGAAAAGAAATATATTATTTTTTTCAATCATTTCTTCAAGATTGTGAACATTAATGATATGATTTTAAAAGTTATTCTTGTGACGTTAGATCTTACTATTAAAATTTTTCATCTTATTATTCTTTCATGAATATAAGTGTTTAGCAACTCTTTGCAATGTAATTTTCATTCAAAAATTTTCAATCATAGATTAAAATCATCATTTTCATCCATTTGCTTCAAAATCAAACGTTGCATATATAATATAGAAATATTCACAGCGTGCTCATGTAGATACTATCGAATATTTTAGTTGAAAGTGAAACATTTAGCCCTCAACATCTTGCCCATTTGAGCACAAATATTTGAGCTTGTCGTTGAATTTTTTTCTCAAAATAGAATTTCATTGTGTTCATCGTAGTTGTTTATGTCATATCCAACTAACCTACATTTCATGGTAGTGATCTCCTTGCGTTGAATTTTTGAAATTGTTCCTTGTGTAGTCTACATGAATAAATTTTATTTTCATTCATGTAAAAAATTCACGTAACTTAGATTCACATATGGTATTTTAGATGAAAATTCTAGCATTTGAGTTTCAAATCTTAATAATTTTTTCTTATCAAGTCGTAGTTAGTTTTCATTTTTATTTTGAAAATTTGACTTATAATAATGACGTACATGCAACATATTGAATTTGCTTTCAAGAAAAAAAACTAATTTGATGATATAAGACACATTTCACTTGTTTTCAGCCATAAAAATCTAAACATTTGCAAAACATTTTCTTAAGTAATAAATTTTTTTGCCCTTCAAAATTTACAACTAGTCATGCTAAAAAATTCAATCAAGCTGTTCAAACACAATCATAGATAGGCTTAAAATTTTCAGTCTTTGCCCGCACCATAATCTTCAATGAACTTGATCTTTCATTTTAATTATCATTTCATTTTCATGCGGTAGTGTATTTTTAATTTTGATACATTTTGACAAAATTGATTATCATCAAGATTTGAAGCTCATGAGATTTTGATTAATCTATCGTTGTAAAAAATGCAAGATTTGTTTAAAAAAAAAGCACTTAGTTTATTGTGTTGTTTATTGCGCTTGTTGTTTTTTAAATTGGATCAAGTATTTAAAGAAGCTCCAAAAGAAAAATTGAATCCAATAGATCACTAATTTTGCAATAATACATTAAGTAGTTGATAGAAGAAGACAATAAGCGTTGAAAGCTATATTGTCTATTTTTTCACAGCAATAACAACAATGTCGATATAATTGTTTAGCCTTAGAACCTTTTTTGCTTGATTTAATCTTTGATCATGAATTTTAAGACTTATAGTTGTATGAGTGCCGTAGTTACAATTCTAATTAAAAATTTGATCGTGATTAGCTTAGTGATTACTAAGTTTATCTAGTTAGAACTAAATTTAAACTATCAAATCTATGCTTGGCGGAATAATTAAAATACTTCTAGAAATCATGGATGAGAATTAAGATTGTGTATGCTATCAAACTTTAGATTCAAACAAAGAAAAATTTGGATACATCATAGTTTGATCGGTTTGCTAAGTGGTATAGTTTTTATTTGTTGGACTATGTCTAAAGTTTGAGTTAGGGTAAGTTGAGATTCCAAAAAGTTTCATTTTTATCAATGACATGTCACCATTTCAATACAAGTACAAAGAAGCATCTAAGTAGACAAATGATATGTTATCATCTAATATTTTTCATGGGAAATAAGTTTAGTAATACTTAACATAAATATGGTAGTTTTCAAATAATATAAAGAAAAAGGTAGACAATTTGATTTACCTTTTTCTTTAAACAATTTTGAAAATATCTTTGTGTGAGGCTTTTTTTAATCAATGAAAATTGAATAAATTGATGAGTGGAGGGATTGTTTGAGAGTATGTTTACACATGAACATGTTTATAGATAAAATCCAACCTTTTAGAATCATGATAAGTTTACTAAAAATCATCCGAGATAAATCTTATTCAAACCCGAGATCACAAAACAAAATTTACTTCTTTTTGATGCAAACTTCTTTAATATTTATCTAGCCCAAGTCCTCATACTAAGTGAGATTGAGGAAGAACTGACAATGGAAAACGCTGTTGTCTTCATCAATGTAAAAATTTTGTATGACATTTGAGGATAGTTCTACCGTCACTGCTCTAAAATATAAATATTGAAAAATTCTCTTATATCAACTATCATAAGTAAAATCAAAACCAAGACACACACATAGTACTCACACAAATACATGCACGCACATTAACAATCAAAAAATGTGGTTTGACCACTAAGGATTACGTTTACAAACCACCAATGTTCTTCCTTGTGTTCCACAAGCAAGAACAACTGGTGTTCTTGCTTGTCACATCGATCGATGTAACTGACCGCGGTCGGACCCGTAGCCTTCTTGTTTAAGTTTTCTACATGGATGAAATAGATGGGACAGGAGAATTTTCTTTTCTAAAATTACAAGGATCTTATTTTCCATGTTTCTTTTTGGGGAAAAATCGATGGAGCTTGTTTTGATGAATCACACTTAGACATCTTTATGTTGAATGATCATGTCCACTAATCATGCTTTTCCAAAAAGATAATAATTTGAAGGTTTACAGGATATGCAAGATTGCAATCTTCCCGCAACTTCATGAATTCTGGTCATAATTATCAGTGCTATAAAGAAAAGAAAAGTGATGCAGATTAGTATCTCAGATTTAATACGAACGGTCCCAATTATTATATCGTATCTATAGCTATAAAGCTGATGATTTAAAATGGGCGAAGTGATGGACAAAGCACATGATCGATCATGATCGATCATAACCGACCTACATCCATTCCTAAAAGCTGAGGCTTCACTGATGGGTCATCAGTGAAGCCATCAGTGATGGCTCTTGGTACGCTGAATACGTACTTCTTCTGTTCCATGAGCAAATTGACAGAAGTTGCTGTATGGACAGAACCCCGATAAATATTTTGTACAGAGCTTTGTTTTGTACTTTTCATGTCGATACCTCTCGTCCAACGGCCTTCCAGATAAACATTCGCGGATGATCAGATGGCGCACAAACTCAACTGCTAAACAAAGCGCATCCACAGAACCGCCCATGGCCAGGTACTTGAAGTCGCCAGAAAATATTTGATCTTGAACCGTAAGGTTCCACAATCCTGTTCTTTGACATATGAGCTTTGCATTGCTTCCCTTCTTCCCAATAATTGCACCACAGAAGGCAGAACTGATTGGTATCTTGATGACATAAGGTTCTCTGGACTTTGTTGTAGCCAGCTGAGATGCCGCATAATCAAGAGGGTAGAGAACTCCGTGCTCAGACTTCAAATCAGTCCACTCAGAGTTTGCGAAAAACATGGGGTGAAAAATGAAAGGAGGCGGTAGACTCCTCCAATACATCTCCTCAGATTCGTGGATTGAATAGTCCGCTGTGTAGTTATAAGCAGAATTCACATTGTAAAGCCCACCGCTAAAAATCTCTTGAACGTTCGAGGTTTGGAAGGAAGTTCTTCGTGCCTGTTAAACAAAGAAAACTTTGAGAACGTCAGAATTCAACTAGCTAGCTCTAGATATTTGCTGTTGAACGAGGCCCTTTTTTCCCTGTTTGTGAACAAACATTCAGAGGTGAGTTCAAAGCTTTAGACAGCAAAGGTGATAAGCTATGCATCTTTAAGGAACAATGAAACCAAATTCGTAAGAAAATCCTATGGATGAGTAAGGGCCAATATAAAAAATCAAACTGGGTCGAGCAAGCTTATTTAAGCACGAGAGCAGATTCGGGTTCAGTTTTAAAGTTTCACCTTCCTTTGCAACTGGAGCTCCAAAAAGTGATAAATACTGTCTTCGCCATACCGTCCATGTCCTTCACCGTGGATATATCTAACCATAGGAACAGGCACAATGCGATATGCTGATCCTGGCACGAAATTAGAGTAAAGGGAGAGAACATCAAAATATCCACAAGAAAGACTACGTTGATAAAGTCTGAGAATGAAGAACTGAAGCTTCCTCGACTATTTAAGGTCCCTGGTTTCTAGCTCCTAGCGAGAAGGTGGGTGGGGGTGTTACAGATGTTCATAATATGTCTTAGTCAAAGGTTCAATGTCAGACTTGAGTGGGATGTGTAAACAGGGCTGGTATGTGTAAAGCTTACAAAGAATACATCTAATCAACATCAGGCCAGTCGGAGTCCCTGATATTACATTAAAAACTGATAAGTAAGCATTTCCACCGCATCAGATACTCCACTGGAATCAGTTTTGGAGGAACTCAATGTAGAAAATGTTTTGGAGTGCCAAGTGTACGGTGATGGCTGCAAACTGGCATCTTCTTTGCGAAAATGAAAACAGCAACATGTCACTGTAAAATACTGGTGGATATGCTGCTGATAGATTACTCACTTCGTCGTCAGTCATAACCGTTTTTCTCCCACCACGTCTCGAAACTGAACGGAAGCCTCAAAAGCAGATGACTCGCACTGATCTTGACTGCTCCACGCCCCGTCATCTTCTACAGCAATAACATCGTGTGATTAGACTCACTCTGGCTGGTAATGATATTCACGCAATTTTTTGAATATATCCTGTGACCTTTCACTCCAAAAAGAGCCGCCGTTCCAGGACTACGCGATTGTTCTTTCATCATATACTGGACCTCAACGACCAACCCACCGTAACAAAGCAAAACACAAATGAGGGAAATTGACATATCCTTCATTCTGAGTTTGGATTCGGTCTGGAGAAACGTGACTTACGATAGGCAGTTATGGTGCGTAATCGATCAGCCCATATCATATTGACTCGAGGACATACTCCTGCTTATAAATCCGATGTTAAAAATGGTGTGGAGTGGCTTCAAAACAGTTCCGAATACGACTTGTGAGTGAAGGGATTTAAGCAAGACTACTTTTGAGCTGGCGTAGTTTGTATGTTTGGGCGAAATGTGTCATTGTGAATCAAATTTGCCTCGTACTACACGTGCAATACTAGCCATTACTATAGTCCACGTTTAAGGAATACTGACCCCGTGATGACTTGTGCGTGTAGAGTAAGGAGTTTATCAATTTCCATATCTTCTTAATGAACTGATAGGACTTAGACTGTTCAAACTTAAAGAAAATTTACTGCAAAGTGGGAAATGGATATTGGAAGAGTTGAGCAAGAGGCATCATGAACTTAAGAAAAGAACACGATATACTTATTAAAAAACTTTCCATTATCATAAACGTAGAATGTCCAATCACTCCTCGATACATCTGTTACATTTTTCTTTTCTCAACAAGTAAAGTACCTTCAGCTTCAGGTAGACAAGTCATTTCCTTCAGGAATATAGGAACAGTCGCCAGGTGATATATATGTATTTGAGATACATATATAAATTATATTTCATCAAGGACTGATTTAAATAAACAACAGTGCTTAATTAAAACAACATTTTTGCACCTTAGTGCACCACATATGAATAAGATGTAAAAAAAGACCTTATTTAATCACAATTTTGAAGTTTTTTTAGTAAATTTTTTATTAATTTGTTAATTATTGGAGATATTCTAATCGATGTTGGGGTTTTTTTAAAAGAGAGCTGTATTTTAAAGCATGTATGATAGTAAAAAATACTCTTATTTATATTTCATAAGCATCATAATTATTTAGATACATCATAAAAACTTTTGAAGAAAAATTGATGTTAAATTTTACTTGGGACCCCAACATTAATTTAAGTTGATATCAGGAATTTGATTTTTTTCTCTAGATTTCGTATCTTTCAAAACTGTCTAGGCAATAGTACAGCACCAAGTACTGTACTATGACACGACAACAAGATATCAGTTTGCTTGTATACTTTTCAAATCCTAAACTTGTGACGCAAACTTTACGTTGTTCAAAATCAAATCTTGGTCAACGTCATCCAAAGAAAATTTGACATGTTGATGAAAGAAATTTAAGAGTCTACATGAAAAAGACATCAAGATCAAAGATAAAGAAAGTGAATGGAAATGTTTCAACATTATATCATTTATTGCAATCTTCTTCCAGAGAAAGCTTAAATTTCTTTAGACACATAGAGTATCATTGTTGATCGTAAATATCTGTAGCTTTTCATTTCTCATGGATATAAACCGTAATTTGTTACATTTTAAGAAACAAATAAAAATAGAAATATCGTGTGTAGCATTACTTAGGAACATCAAATAACTGCAAAAAAATCAAGTATAAAAAGTAAATGCAATGAACAAATAAAAAAGTAACGTGGATTAATCATGAAAAATAATAATACTTTACAATATTACTTCGATTCGACGAAGGTTCAGCTGCATTTGGATATGTAACTTTACTGATTTCAATCAGAAACTAAGTTCTTTCGTCTCCTTCCCAATTGTAATAACCCACCAAAGGCTAAAATTGCAGTATGGTGGTAAAAAGATCGAACCCACAAGGACAGAGGCAACACACAGAGTAAAAAGTGTCACGTTTAACAGACTTTTGTAGAGTTTGAATTCTCAGGCGACTGTCACTCCCAGAAATACTGCAGTGCTCGACTCGGAGGCCACTCGGAGGATGCTCGGAGGATGCACAGTGCAGCGTAAGTCACTCAACACACACACACACACACACCTGAAACTGGAAAAGCACAGCTCGGAGGTCGGTCATGACCTCCGCTTAGGATTTCAAGGGGAAAAGTATCTCAAAAGTTCACTCAGAGGCTCTGCAGGTAGTGACTCCCACTCCGGCTTTTACAGCCCTTCCGCCAGGAACTAGCGTAGGGAACCCGGACTGGACTTCCCACTTCGGAACGAAGTCCCTCATACGCAGTGGACGTCACCCCCGACTCACACCAAGCGCAGAGAGTACAGGCCCGACTGAGAACTTAACTGAGACACAATCCAGTCACACACACACACAACCTGAATTGCTAACCAAGGTTTACACGAAGTAACAAAACTTCACTTTGGCATTCAGGGGAAACTTCCCGTAAGAGTACAATCAGGACATGTCACTCGAAGGAGTAAGGGGGAACTGTTCAAGTATCTAACTCGCAACCGGCTCTGAGCATCAGAAATCACCCGCAGGTGCAAATCCGCACTACTCAAGTCTCTAACCGGTGTACTAGCTCTGAACATTCAGCCGAAGGCCTTCAGCTACAACATGCGGTAACTTCACTATGCTGCAGCTCCTCTACGTGGTGCCAGGACCAAATGCACAAACACGCCGAGAAAGTGAGTTCCTGATCTGCACTTCCGAAACTGGAAGAGTCCCAATGCAAAACGCCTTGAAATACTTTATACCCTCTAAGGTCCTAACTAACACTACGCTGCACTATCTGCTACTCTAAACTCCTGCACGAAACCAAACTACACTACTGCACTCTGCAGATCCGGTGCTGCGCCTCTTGCGCGCCGGACTGCCTCGCACTTTCTCTCTACCCTGCCAATCTTCCGACCGGCTGCGCAACCCCAGTCGCCGAAGGACTGCAGTCACTTCCGACTCTAAGTGCGCCATAGTGTCGCGCGCACCCGACAAGAAGGCTTTTAATTTCCTCGCTACTCGCCGCCGACTCCGACTGTCACCCTCCGTCAATGCCGCTGCCCGAAGCTCAAACTCCCTGAGTGTGATCTTCTCTTGTGCCGCCACATCCCAATGGGCGTATACTTTTAGACAGTGAGTCACCCGCGTCACCAACTCTTCTCGCGTCCGATTGCTGCCTTCCACCTCTGCTAGCTGCATCTCCGCATCTGCGCGCTGCACCCTCAATTCCGCGCACTCGGATTGCAAGTTGCGCAACAACTCCTCATCCTCATTGCGCGTGCTTTGACTTTCTTTTAATGCGCGCGTCTGGCGCGCAAGCTCCTCTGTTTGAATGCGGTTTTGTCTCCGCTCTTCCTGCAATTCCGACTCGATCTTTGCCCGCATTAGCTCAGCATTCGTCTAGGCTTTCGTCGCCACATCCTCCCTCTGTTGTTGCAGGGTTTGGTGTAGCCTCTGCGTGATCGCCAGGTGCTGTCGGAGGGCAGTATACCTATCCTACAATGTTTGGCACCTAGAGGCCCAAGTGGCCACCTTGCTCCTCGTCCTGCTCTTGACAATCTCCACATAAGACTGCGATTTTCTGGAACTCGAGTACTTTGCTGTCTTGCGATCCAAATATCGCAGGAGTGGTACTATCTGCTCGCACAATACCCCTGTTGGCGTCTTCTGCACTGAGTCCGCTTCCTGCTCTTCCGAACTCGTCTCATCCTCTGTTTCGAGGATTTCAGTCGCCACAGAATCTCTTGGCGACTCCATGGAACTGTGGCGCGCGGCAGCTTCCGCCGCGACTGCCGCTCCACTCCCTGCTAAAATATCCAAGGCAGTGGAGGATTCCACTGCCTGAGCCCCTGTTCCGGCTCGATCTTCGGTTCTCGAAGGGGTCGGCGCCGCAGTTACTTTTGTCCCCTTTGCACCGCCCGCTTCTACTGCCTGCTCTTCCGGCGTGATCTGCGCGGAGGGTGTCTTCGCCGGAGGTGTGTCCGCCGAAGGCGCCCGCACAATGGTCGCCGGCCTTGTCCGGTTCGCAGTGGGCGAATCTGACCGACTCTCAGTTGACCGACTCGCAGTCGGCCGACTAGCAGTTGTCCGACTGGCGGTCGGATCCACCCTGCGCGTCTTTACTCCACTTGGCCTGCTTGCTGGAGGCGTTTTCCCGGAAGCGCCTTCTGCCGAAGACGACCCTCTAAGGGTTGTTGGCTCGTCAGCCAAACTCCCTTTTGCTTCCGGCCTGCTATCCGATTCAACGCGCTGCTCAGTTGGCCGTCCTTCAGTCGCCCGACTCGCAGTCGGCCGACTGTCAGTTCGCCTGTCTTCTTCTGGAGGCATCGGTGCCTTCTGCGCAGAGGTGTTCGCCGACCTCCCCAGAATCTGCGCAATTATCTCTTCCTGCGTGGGCAGGATACTCCGCCGGACCGGAGTACGCCCGGTCTCCTCAGTACTAGTTG